TGCAGCTGCTGCAGCAGCAAAAACCCCGTGCTGCTGCTGCTGCAGCTGCTGCAGCAGCAAAAGCCCCGTGCTGCTGCTGCTGCTGCAGCTGCTGCAGTTGCTTTGACAGCAGCAGCAGCAGCAGCTGCTGCTGCTGCTGCTGGGTGGTCATACCATCAAAGAGGCGTTGTCGCGTAGCTCTGTCTCTATGCCGGCGAGCTGCTGCTGCTGCTGCTGCAGCTGCTGCTGCATTTGCTGCTGCGCAGTCTCTGCGTCTCTTTTCATAGCCTGAAGCTGCCCCACTGCAGCAGCAACAGCAGCAAGACATACCAGCGGTAGCAGCAGCAAGACATAGCAGCAGCAGCAGCAGCAAGACATAGCAGCAGCAGCAGCGGCAAACAATCTCCATGGATAACTTGTGGGTACAAATAGACCTAAGAACCCAAAGTCCGAGTAAAGATGGATAGACCCAAGGTCCCCAAACCCTAAACCCTAAACCCTAAACCCTAAACCCTAAACCCTCGTGACGCACAGACAGCTGTACGCAAAGCCTGAGGGTCTTTACCCAACTGAGGATAGGCAGCAGCCACCAGTTTGCCCACAACATCTGCTGGGCCCTGCATGCACATAACAAACCCTAAACCCTACACCCTACAACCTAAACCCTAAACCCTAAACCCTAAACCCTAGAGCTAACTCCCCAAACCCTCGCCCTAAACCCCCGCTAAAATGTCTCCCTAAATCCCCCTCTAAACCCTCGCTTTTGCCTCTGGCCCTAAACCCTCCTCTTTAATCTTCTCTTTAAAAACCCTAAAGGTTTGTTTTAAACCCTCGCTAAACCCTCGCTAAACCCTCGCTTCACTCTCTGTTCTACATCCTCAAGAAACCCTCGCATCAAACTCCTTCAAACCCTCTTCAAAGCTTCTAAACCCTCGTTTCAAACCCTCGCCTTAAACCCCACCTTAAACCCTCTCCCTAAAGACCTTTCAAACCTCCAAACCCTCACCTTGAACCCTATCATGAAACTCTTTATAAACCCTCTCTTGAAACCCTTTTACAACCTCTAAACCCCTGTCTTAAACCCTTTTCAAACCCTCTCCTCCAGCCCTTTTTTAAAGCTTCAAACCCTCGCGCTAAACCCCATTCTAAACCCTCTTCCTAAACCCCCTCTGAGTCCCTTTCTAAAGCCCTTTCTAAAAACCCCTTTTAGGAGCTTAAAACCCTTTTTCAAACCCTTTTTAAAAACCCTTTTTTAAAGCCCTAAGCCTCGCCTTAAACCCTCGCCTTAAGCCCATTGAGGGACCTCCTCCAAACCCTTTTTTTGAGTCCTCTCTCGAAACCCTACTTTAGGGTTTTGAGCCCTCGCCCGCCCCCCGTTCGAAAGGGCGCAGACCCGTGAGAGCTGTAAACCCTTGCAAAGCCCCCGCAAACCCTTGCAAAACCCTTTTTCAGGGCTTACGGAACATTCCGAGGTTTCTTCTTCTTGAAAGAAAAATTCATTTTCGTAAATCAAAAGTTCACAAAGCCAACTGAGGGCCGCCAAGTGGTGGGGCCACTGGTGGCCTGTGCCTGGGGCCAACATGGCGCTTTTGCTGATGGGAAATGGGTACCTGAGTGGAAAAAAAAGCGAATTTAGAGAATTTAAATCAATTAAAATGAATTAAAATCAATTTAAATCAATTTAAATCAATTAAAATGAAATAAAATCAATTAAAATGAACTAAAATCGAAAAGATTCGAAACAAAATGCTTATTCCACTCTTGATGTGCTGTTCAAGTTTCAACGCACAAAATTCAAAATCCGAAAATTCAAAAAATTCAAAAAAAATTTTGCTTTAAAAAACGACTTAAAACATATAAAATGCAATTAAAATAAATAAATAAATAATAAATAAATAAATAAATAAATAAATAAATAAGCAAATAAATAAATAAATAAATAAAAATAAATGACAAACTGAAAACAATTCATTACATGCGTTTTGCCGGTGAGCGGGCGCGACCACGAGACAGTTGAAAATCCAAAAAAGACAATTTTTAATAAAAAGAAAAAATAAATAAATAAATAAATAAATAAATAAATAAAATAAAGAAATAAATAAATAAATGATAATTCAACAATTAATTAATTAAACATTTTAAGTTCAAGTTTAGTGGGAAATGCAGCCTAAGGACTTCACAATTAATTGCAAGTAAGTTGAAGCTGCTTTGAAACTTAATTTGAGTGGCTTTAGCTAAACCCTAAACCCTAGACACAAACCCTAAACCCTAAACCTTCAATTCAAACCGTTAACCCTAAACCCTAAACTCAAAACATGAATTTGAAGCCCTAATCGCAAACGCCAAACCCTAAACCCTAAAGCTAAAGCCTGGACCCTAGGCCCAAGATCCAGACCCCATACCCTAAACCCTGAGCCCTAAACCCTTCCCACGCTCCAAATCCTAAACCCTAAACCCTAAACCCTAAACTTTAGGCCCACCCGATTTCTTTGAATAGTCTGGGGACTTCGTCGTTTACATTTTCTGCAGTTATTTTAACAGAGTCATCAAAGCAGCGCCTGAAATAAAAAAATTTTAAATCAATTAATTTAAATTAATTGATTTAAATTAATTAATTTAAATCAATTAATTTAAATCAAACAATTCCAAGATACAAACCCGCGACAAACAAATCCAAATAACAGCAGCAGCAACAGCAGCAGCAGCAGATTCAGCAGCAGCAGCAGCAGATTCAGCAGCAGCAGCAGCAGTTATTGAAACAACCGGCCTAGGCAATTCTGAAGGTATTTCTTCCCAATTCAAAGATGCTACAGCAGCAGCAGCAGCAGCTGCTGCTGCTGCTGCTGCAGCAGCTGCTGCTGCTGCTGCAGCTGCTGCTGCTGCTGCAGCTTTTCAATTCAAGTCAGACTTTCAGACAGCTAGTTTGGCTGGCGCTTTACCGCGTTTCTATTCATCTAGTGCTGGCCACAGCGCGCCCCAAACCCTAAACCCTAAACCCTAAACCCTAAACCCTAAACCCTAAGCCCTGCGGGCTAAGGAGCGCGAAACTGAAAGGTGCCTTCAGTGCGATGCACGGCCTTCCGCATAGCTTAGGGAATTGAGCCTAGGGTTTACTTATTAGAGTCTAGGGTTTAGGGTTTAGGGTTTAGGGTTTAGGGTTTAGCACCTGAAGAGGTGACCCCATATTTCAATAAGGAGAGACCGCTGAGGGCTGCTCAAAGCCTTGGCCGAAAGAGGCCCCGGAAATTCGGAAAACGACAAAAACCTGAGACGACAAACCCTAAACCCTAAACCCTAAACCCTAAACCCTAAACCCTAAACCCTAAACCCTAAACCCTAAGCTCTAAACCCTAAAAGACCAGGGAGACCTAAACCCCAAGGGCAGCTGCAGCCACTGCAAACCTCTCAAAGCTCTAGGGTTGAGCGCAGTGGCCACTGCGCGGCGCAGCGAGCCAAAACGAGGGTTTAGGGTTTAGGGTTTAGGGTTTAGGGTTTAGGGTTTAGGGTTTAGGGTTTGCCTGGTTATAGTCCTGAGGGCATCTCGCTTGAAACTGTCTTGAGACTGGAGACTCTTCAGCTTGGAGGCCTCGGCGCTGCGTTTGCCTCTTCTGTAGGTGCTGTGTAGGGTTTTGTCGGCTGCAGAGCTCGCAAACCCTAAACCCTAAACCCTAAACCCTAAACCCTAAACCCTAAACCCTACGCGCAGCCTACCCGTATTCACAGCTTTGTAAAAGGAAAAGTCGCTCAGTTCCCGCGGCTGCTGGCTGTCGAGAGGCAGAGAAGAAGCGGCAGCTGCGACGCAACATGCAAACCCTAAACCCTAAACCCTAAACCCTAAACCCTAAACTCCACGATTCTGCATCTGAAGATAACGCTAAATAACGAGGAGAGGCTCACGGGTGTTCGCCGAGCGGAAAGGAGAAGTAGGCCCCCCTATTAAAGGCTCCATTCTGGAAAAAATTAGGGTTTAGGGTTTAGGGTTTAGGGTTCAGGGTTTATGGTCTAGGGTTTAGCTCTCTTAAGATCGAGGGCTTTCCGTCCAAAGTGCAACTCGTAAACCCTAAACCCTCGCCCTCGCCAACACGGCATAGGCCCTGTACCCTAGCCCTTGCCAGCGCGCCGCAAACCCTAAACCCTAAACCCTCAACTTCGCCGTATGGACACGCCCTAAACCCTAAACCCTAAACCCTTAACTCCAAGTTGCTGCAGCCGCTTTGGTGGGTAGCAGTGCTGCAGAGCTGCGAAGACACCGGCGAGAGCTGATGGGCTCTTGGGGGTTCTCTGGCGTCCAAGAGAAGCAATTTAAAAAATTAAATATATTTTAAGACGAAAAATAAGAATATAAAAGAATAATAATGCAAAAGGCCGACAAAATGGGTGGGTGTGGCCTACAGACCCTCCGGGGGTTTCGGCGGGCGGTGCAGCTGAACTCAGGTGTACGTACACCCGAGCTCGCGAGAAGCCAAAACGCGGGAATAAATCCTTTAAATGTATTTCATTTATATAATTAATATTAAATGGCAGCCGCGGCAGCCTGGGGGCCCCCCCAAGCCCCAGAACCACCCGCTGCCCACTAGCAGGGTAAGCAAGTAGCTGGGGTGTACGTACACCTCAAACTCCAGGAAGCCGCCAGTCCTTTGGCTTCTTTTGGCACTTTTATTTTTATTCCAATTTCTCTTTTCCGCTGACGACTTAATCGCAGCAAACCCGGAACAACCCCACCCATAAACACCCCGCTGCTCAGCTTTCTATGAATGCTTAGAACTTCTTTAGTTAATTCTTTTTCACTTCTTTTTATTTTATTTTTTTTGAAGTTCTCCAGCGCTGCTACTCGCAGCAGATGCCTCGGCCAAACCCTCGGGGCCTTTCCCTTCTGCCTTCGGGGTCTCGATTGCGCTGCTTAGGATTTAGGGTTTAGGGTTTAGAGCCTAGGGTTTGCGCTCTAGGGTTTAGGGTTTAGGGTTTGGGGCCCCAAGAGCCCCGCCATTCGATCCGGAACTTGAGGGCCCCTGCTCGAAGAAATGACAAGTGCGCCGCACCGCGAGGGTTTAGGGTTTAGGGTTTAGGGTTTAGGGTTTAGGGTTTAGGGCTTAGGGTTTAGGGCTTAGGGGTCAGGGCTTGGGGTTTAGGGTTTAGGGTTTAGGGTTCATTTTGTGTGCAGCTGAAGTTCTGAAAATCAAAAGTGACTGCGTCATATTGGATGGCAAGCAGCTTGACATCGAGTAAAGCTAAACCCTAAACCCCAAACCCTAAACCCCAAACCCTAAACCCCAAACCCTAAACCCCAAACCCTAAACGACAAGCCATAAACCCTAAAGTCCAGAATGCTTGCAAATGTGGGCGTCGAAATTAGCTAGGGGAGCTTCTCGGGATTCACACTTGCGACGTATGCTTAAGGGTATAACGTTAAGGGTTTAGGGTTTAGGGTTTAGGGTTTAGGGTTTAGGGTTTAGGGTTTGAATGGTCAGGAAGTGGGATTTTCCTTATCAAGATGCTGCTCTCCGCCTGCAGCGGCCTGACTTGAAAATTTTATCTCTGCAGAAGGCATGCAGCTGCGTAAGCTCTAAACCCTAAACCCTAAACCCTAAACCCTAAATCCTAAATCCTAGGTCTTTAAACTTAAACCGTGAGCTCTAGATCTCCAAGTAGAAGCAGCAGAAAGAGCTGGTTGATGAACCTCGAGGCTGGGGGTTTCGGGCTTAGACTTGGAGGGTTTAGGGTTTAGGGTTTAGGGTTTAGGGTTTGTGCTGCTGCTGCGCCGTGTGTGTGCGCCAGATGACTGCAGCAGCATTTGCTGCTGCTAAGGGAGCAGCAGCTCATGCTGCTGTTGTTGGCGTTGTGACTTCTGTCTCAGACCCTCGTGGAGTCGCCAGTAAACCCTCAGCAGCAAACGCCTGGGTTTAGGGTTTAGGGTTTAGGGTTTAGGGTTTAGGGTTTGGGGTTTAGGGTTTAGGGTTTAGGGTTTGGAATCGTTCTGTGAACCTGCTGGTGTTGCTGCAGATGAAATGAAATGGTGCTGGATCTTGTGGGACACAAAGTCAGCCTCCGCTGCTGCTGCTGCTGCTTGTGCTGCTGCTGCTGCTGCTATTGTTGTTGTTGCTGCTGCTAATGTTGCGGCTACTGCTGCTGCTGTTGCTGCTGCTCTTCCTGTTGCGGCTATTATGACTGTCGCTGCTGCTGTTGCTGCTGCTGCTACTGTTGCTGCTGCTGCCTCCGCTGTTGCTGCTTTTTATGGCCCTGATGCTGTCGCTTTTGGTGCTGCTGCTGCTGCTGCTGTTGCTGCTGTTGCTGCCACTGTTCGTAGTTAGTAGTAGCGGAACCACTGCTGCTGCTGATACTGCTGCTGCTGCTGCTGCTGCTGCTGCTGCTGCTGCTGCTGTTGCTGCTGCTGCTGAGGGCTTTAAATGAGTTTGATTGTTATATTTCAGGGAGACAAATTTGCTGCTTTCTTTTCGTGGGGAGGAACTTTGGAGCTGCCTCAGGCAAGCCCCCCTAGTCTTAGGGTTTAGGGTTTAGGGTTTAGGGTTTGGGCTATGAGCAGCTTCGAGCCTTCAAAGATAGCAGAAGACCTCCATGTCGCATTAGCTCTTTGCGTTCTCCCTTGTCTTCAGCTCTGAATAGCCAGGGCCTAGGGTTTAGGGTTTAAGGTTTAGCGTTTAGGGTTTAGGGTTTAGGGTTTAGGGTTTAGGGTTTGCGCAGGAAGAAGGGCGTCCAGCGGGGGGACTTGGTTGCAGTGCTAAACCCTTCTTTGCTTCCAAAGGCCGACGGCTCCGATTCGCGAGCAGCAGCAGTCGAAGATGATGACCAAATTCTCAAAGTGCAGCCCTAAACCCTAAACCCTAAACCCTAAACCCTAAACCCTAAACCCTAAGCAGTAGGGCGCATCGAGGACCTGCGGCAGCTGCGTAGGCCAGAGTCCAGATAAGCCCAGCCCACGCTCTCTCCACTTGCTTTCAGAAGCCTTGGGCCCACAGTTTAGGGTTTAGGGTTTAGGGTTTAGGGTTTAGGGTTTAGGGTTTAGGGTTTAGGGTTTGTGTGCAGCTGGGCGCTGTCAAAGGAATAGTTCGCTGCAGCGCTATGACTCGCCGCCAACTCCAGTGCAGACAAATGGTCCATCTGTAAGTCATCAAAACCCTAAACCCAGGGGCCCCCAAGGGGCCCCCTAGGGGCCCCCAGGGGGCCCCCTAGGGGCCCCCAAGTGGCCCTTTAGGGGCCCCCAGGGGGCCCCCTAGGGGCCCCCAAGTGGCCCTTTAGGGGCCCCCAGGGGGCCCCCTAGGGGCCCCCAAGTGGCTCCTTAGGGGCCCCCAGGGGCCCCTTAGGGGCCCCCAAGGGGCCCCTAGGGTTGTTTGAAGGTCCTCAATAAAGTCCTTCAAGGGGGCCCCCAAGGCGCCCCCAGGGGGCCCCCCAAGGAGCCCCCAAGGGGCTCACTAAGGGGCCCCTTGGGGGGCCCTTGGGGCCCCTTAAGGGCCCCCTTAAGGGGCCCCTTAAGGGGCCCCTTAGGGGGCCCCTTAAGGGGCCCCTAGGGCCCTACTGGGGGCCTGTAGAAGAGGTCATATTTTCAGCAAAAGAAAGTTGCTCCTTTAATGCTGTTGCTGCTGTTGCTGCTGTTGCCGCTGCTGGATACTTGCTGCTGCTGCTGCTGCTGCTGCTGCTGCTGCTGCAGGCCTAGCATGGGGGAGTACTGCCGGTTCCACGTGAACTGCAAAGACAGGCAGCACAAGGGTCCTGCTGCTGCTGCTGCTGCTGCTGCTGATGCTGCTGCTTCTATTGGTGAGCTGCTGTGCGGCGCGGACCAAGAAAGGCGGACGGCCATTCTCCACAAGCTTGTTCCTTCTGCTGCTGCAGCAGAAGCAGCAGCAGCAGCAGCAGCTGCTGCTGCTGCTGAAGTTGACGCACTCAAGGCAAAGCCAAGTCAGAATCAGCTGCTGCAGCAAAAGGAAAACCTCTCGCTGCAGCAGAAGCACGCGAAGCAGCAAGCAATGAGCAGTGAGAGAAGCTGCTGCTGCTGCTGCTGCTGCTGCTGCTGCTGCTGCTGCTGCTGCTGCTGCTGCTGCTGCTGCTGCTGCTGCTGCTGCTGCT